GCAAATAAGAGAGGTGACCTCCCACCCATCCCACTGTACAACATCCAGGTGGAAGACAAAGACGAACTCATCTGTGCATGAGCCCTGGCTGTGAGGAGCATGAGAAGGGAGACACCCTCCTGCCATTTTTTCTTTGAGGAGTAGAAGTAAACCTCACAGAGGGCCTTACATAACTATTAATGCAGTCTCTCAAACACTAAAATAAAAGGGTGGCAGTTAACCAAAGAACATCCCCTCCCACATCCCAGGCAAGACCACCCCCTTTGGCTCTTGCTGCTATTCTTCTTGTGATGAGGTGAAAAATTAAAACTGTGCTGTCCTTACTCTCTCCCTCCACCACCACCTCTGTTTTTCTATCCCAGTTGCATCACTGCATGGGTGATGATTGGTCCATGATGTTTATAAGAAGCTTGTGGGTCCTATGTGTGCTTCTCTGAGTTAAGCCCTGGCTGCCAGCTCTCTGCTCATCCATAGCTGGATGAGCCATTATGGCATGAGCTGTGGCTTGACATTTGATTGCGGTTCATATGTGGTCCCCTTATCTCTTTAAGAAAATAGAGTCTCCAGAGTGTGAGAAAGCTGAGTGGCAGAGCAATTTTGGCCACCAATCTTGCAAATCTTCACACGTGCATCTGCTGAACTCACTGCCAGGTCAGCATGGCCTTTAAAGGCTGCAGGATCAGGGCCTTTGCTTCTTTGTCACTTTTGCCCATCTATCTATGGCTATAAAACAGTTGAGATAGATTTGTAACATTACAGGTTGCTAATTTCTAAGGATTCCTCTCCCTTTCCCTTTTCCAGCATTTGAATTATTCCTATGTTTATAGCACACATGATGGAAAAACTAAGATTCTTTTGTTCTCCCTTTCTTCTCTGTGCTGAAAGGCCTTGCTTCCCAGACCAACCACCCTGATCTCAGCCTTCATGGCAGGCAAGAGGTGGTCATCTCAGTGTCAAAGCTTGTTTTAAAATACAAGGGATCTCAATTCCAGCATTGGAAATTAATGTTAGCTTCATGTTAATAATTTAGAAAATACATGCCAAATCACTGGTGTTCTCTCAGTTCTCTCTCAACACAGCTGCAAACTGCATTAGGGCGAATGGATACATTTCAGATGAGATATTTGTACTGAATTATTAGAGTAGTCTGTATTACAAAATTACTAATAAACATTGCTTCTGGCTCAATTTAGTCTGAACTCAGTGAACCTAACCAGTGGTGAGAAATCAAAAACCCTGAAATACCCAATGAATGAGTCTAACTAATCAAGAAGCCCTGCAGGAAGTAGATGCCAGGATTAATGAGCCAGTGGTTTCACCATGCCATGCTGTTATTTCTTCACATAAATGCCCTCAGATGAGATTACCTTTGTCATGAAAAGGAGAGAAGGAAGGTTACATACTTTCAACTGACAGGTTAACTGCCATACCTCCATTACTGCAAGATGCATTTTCATGTGCAGAGATTTTTATTCTGAAAAATGAAAATTTAAAGACCACAACACAAATTAAACCACATTTTCATTTCTAAGAGCAGGGATCATTACTGCTAGTACAATAATATAATCCATTCTGCAGTGTTACCTGATCCCTTGCCTTGCACAAACTTTCTTCCCATGTTAGTAATTGCTCAGTGATTGCAATCTCCAGCAGTGGGTAAGAGCAGATTCTGCCTTCCATGGAGATTTAAGCAGAGGAAGGGAAGAGAGAGAGTGTGTCAAAACATTTCATCAAGAGAGCAAATGAAAGGTTCAGTGACATTATCTTTATTATATTCCTTAGACATTAAGGGTGATGTTGTGTTTAGAGAGAAGTATAGTTACACGAATATGTGCCGGTGTGGAAATTAATCCATACATAAGAACATAAATCTCAGTCTACTTACACACTGGGTGGAACTGCTTAAGGAGAAAATGCACCTTAACATAAGCAAATAAGCCCGGCTTGTAACAGCCCCAGTGCCTGGTGTTAGCTACTTAGTCAATAATAGGCTAATTGTTATTCAGCATAACTGTTCCCTCTCAATTTATATGGAATTCACTCATTTATTTTGATCACTTTACGTGAATGAAGCAAAGCTGTTCATGGTGTTAGATAGAACTGCTCAGTGCTGTTTAATTTTATCTTTTAACATCAGCACGAGTGAGATTTTATAATAAAATAATTCACATCCAAACTGTAACGTATGGGAGTGAGACCTGTGGTCCCCTTCCTTTCACCCACGTTAAATACATAAGAGCATCAGCTTAGATGTTTTATGTTGTAAAGCTTCAGCAGGTGTTAAGGGTACATATAATTTCAAAAATCTCCAGGACTCGGAACACAAAGAACTATTGCTATGGAAACAAATCAAATTTGTATCAAAGTTGGGTAGGATAGAAAAGCTTTGCTCATAAGCAGGACTACAGTTGCATTAGAATATGGAGGAAACGGCAGATGTTTTAGAAGTGAGTATTAAGCCAAAGGACATTTGTAAGGCCCCTGCCAAAGCACTGCAATGTTCAGTGTCAAGAATTGGATCTTACAGGTTGTGTCTCAATCCCCTGCCCTCAGCAGAGCAAGTGTTTTTCTTCACCATTAAAAAGCACATATTTTTTAAAGATCTTCCATACCACATTTTACGACATTCCTATATCATAAAGCTGTCTTGCTTATAGTAACACAAAGCAGCTGTAAAAATTGCAGGCTTGTAAACAACCTTCCAAACATTTGGAAGAAGTAGAGGGAGATTTGCACTCTTCTGCATGGAAGTGGAGACCTGTTTGCCCTCCTGGCAGGCCACAGCACGGGGAAGAGATTGCTGTGGAACTGGGAAGACCAAGGGACATTCTAGCTGGGGTGCCATTCCCACTGGTCCTCCCACACCTGGGATAGGGAGGCTGGAGGAACTTTGACCAGCCCTGCCCCATAGGCACCCTGTGGGACCACAGCTTTGATGGCTGATCTAAACTGCTTACAAACTTCAAACTCAGAGCTAAGCCTGGGTACAGAGGGGCAGCTGCTCTGCCCAAGGCTGGGCTGGGGCATAGAGGGAGGGCTGCGAGGAGAGAGAGGACATGGTGACTTCTTATCCCAGGTGCTACCATGGTGTAGATTGTGGTATGGGACCTATCTTGCTTAGCCTGGACTATCTCAGGTTGAGCATCCTGGGTTGTTTCAGCATCTGCAGGAGCTGGCTCCTGCAGAAGGGTGCAGGGCTGCTTTCTCAGGTGACCCCCAGAGGACTCACTCATGGTCTGGATCACCAATAATTTATTCTGCTTTTATTTCTTTTTTAAATTAAATATGCATACGTAATATGCACTTTGGAGCAGGCAAGGACCCTTCTGCGGATGCGTATGGAGCCAGGCACTCTCAGGTGTGTAATTAAGAGGTGTGTAATTGATGTACAAGGAGAAGAGATCTCAGTGCATTGCATAAAAGGCAAGGGCGAGGGGGGAAGAAGAAAAAAAGAAGCCCAAACCTGGCTGTACATGCTTGCCGATGTCTTGCACTTCTTTTTGCCGCCATGTCAAAGTTTGCCTGGGAGTAAACCGAGAGTTTTCTCTTCCGCAGGGTTTGTTTCGCCAGCAACCGTGCCTCCGTTTCACATGCGGATAAAACGAAGCACCCGTCTGCTGCCCGCCTGCCCCACCTCCTGCTGTCCTGCTCCCCCGCACCCCTCGTCCCTGCCGTTCTTCACCACAGAACTTCTTATTACTCTCAGTTTAAAGGCCAACCACACAGAAAGATTAACAAAAGTTTATTAATCATGAAGTATTAAAATTGTGACAAGTGAAAGGCATCAATGCAAAGATAAGCAAGCAAACTATCCCCAAACTTGTGACAAAGGACTCAGTGAATACCACAGAAGGAAGTCCTGTCTTTTTTTTTTTTTTTTTTGCCTGCAGTTGAAGACACCTCTCATATCTCACACGCCACATCAAAATCTATAATTCTTCATATCACATACTGAAAATGATTTTATTTATCCATTCACATTAACTTGATATAAACGTGTCCGGAAAAGTCAAGTAATATGTTTTATATTAGCTCAAACATTTATTAAGTAACCCAAAATTCAATAAATAAGCACAGACAATAAGTTAAAACATATCACGAATCGACCAGTATGTAACAAGAATGCTTTATCTACACAAAACATCCTATTTCACATCGTTTGTTCATTCCTCCAGCGGCCCTGCCCTGCGGCGGGGTGACCGGCACATGCAGGCGGGCGGGCCGCGGGGCCGAGCCGGGCCGGGCCGAGCCGTGCCAGGCGGGGCAGGGGGCGCGACGGCGCCTCCGCCGGCGCTGCGGAGGGACAATAGCAGCAGGAACGTAAATAAATGCGTAAATAAAGGTAGGGAGGATCGGCAACTCAACTGTCACGAAATCAAAGATCCTAAAAAGGGAAGCGCTCTTGCGCGCTTATTTTTTTCCCCTTTTATCCCCTTTGTGTTTTACAAAAAGAAGCTTTTAATTTTTTTTTTCCTTTTTCCCCCATCTGATTCGTTCTCGCTCATCAATGCTTAATCAAAATGGATTTGATTCTCTCTGGGGTCTCCGTGCCGTTTCGCGAGCCCGCCCGGCCGCCCCCCGACGGCGCCCTCACAGCGGAGGGGGCCGGCAGCAAGTCGCCGCACCTAAATAAACCATAAAAATTATGAAAACAGAACCAAAAATGCATTTCTTTGCAAAGCCAAAGCCAGTCGGGCGCCTGGCGGGAGAGTCGGGTCTTGGCGACGAAGGGAGGCAGGGCCGGGCTCGGGGCGGCCGCCAGAGCTCCCGCCGCCCGGCAGGGCGGCCCGCGGGGCACAGGGGTGCGCGAGGGCGGAGGGGGTGTGGGGAGGGTCGGGGGATGTTTCTCGGCCCACAAACCAGTCTGTTGGCGTCTGATTTCAGATCCTGAGTCGACTCCCTGGTAAGTCGGGTGGGAGAAGGCGGGGGCGCGGGGCGAGGCGGGGGCGCAGTGCCAGGCGGCGGCGGGGGCGGCGCGGGGCGAGGCGAGGCGCCGGCCATTAAGTGAAACTCATGGAGACTGTGTGCTCTAGTGCTTTGCGGCGGAGGGAGGCGATGCTGGTTCCCCGCCACACGTCGCTGCTGTCCGGGGAGCTGCAGAGCTGGGGCGAGCCCGTCACGTTGCTGGGGCCGGGCAGGGAGGCGGGCACCATTCCGGGGAAGGCGGGCTGGTAGAGGTGGGATTGCAGCCCGGCGCCGTTGGAGCCCGCCAGGCTGTTGGAGAGCCCCATGGAGTTGGGCGGCGGCCCGGCCGCCAGGCTGCACTGGGACAGGGATTGCGCCATGGCTTGCTGCCGTCCCAGCGCCGGCGGCAGCGGCAGCTGTGACACGCCGGGCATGGCGGCGGCGGCCCAGCGCGTGTCGTTGGCGTGGAAGGAGCACAGGCTGTCGCCCATGGCGGCGGCGGCGGCGGCGGCCGCTGAGGGGAACTGCGGTAGCCCCGGCGTGGGCAGCAGCGTGCCTGGGGCGCGGAACACGTTCGTGGTCTTCTTGCGCTTCTTCCACTTGGCCCGGCGGTTCTGGAACCAGACCTGCGGGCAGCGGGCAGCGACACGCTCCGTTAGCCACCACCAGCCCCCGCGGGACCCCCGCCCCGGCTCCCGCCGCCCCCCCGAGCCTCGCCCCCGCCGGCCGCTGGCGCTCCTCACACCCGCAGCCCCAGACGTGTCCCCGTCACGGGTTAAAGAAACCGGTGGCACTTTTTATAACGAAACTAAGCGATGTGTCCCTCCCGGCACTAAGCCGCCTGCGGCCTCCCTCCCCCGGCGGAAGGGTCCGGGAGAGAAGCCTGGCCTCTCCCCGAAAAACAAATTAAAAAAAAAAACCACCGTCCGACGGCTCCGGCCTTGGCGTGGACGCGCTCCCGAGCCGCCATCGGTGCCAGCTCTCTCGCCCGGTGACGCCGGGGTCCCGGGGCAGGAAACCCCCGCGCCAAACTGTCCGCATTTGGGTTTGAAAAAACAAAACGTAACAAAACCAAATGCAAAACAACAAAACCAGCGGTGGTTCAGGTGAGGGGATGCCCGTGGTGGCACCGTGTCAGGGCTGACTTGATGGGTCTCGTCTCACCGCAGCCGAAAGCAACTGAGACAGTCACGAGCCGGGAAAAACCGCGTCCACCTGAAATCCAAAGGAACGCAGTGCCCCGACCTGCCGGATTCCACAGTCTCAGGCTCCGTACCCAGACTGAGAAAGGCAGATGCCCATTAGCGGGAATGAGCAGCCGTGAGGGAGCTAAATATTATATGAATAATCTAAAAATCGCGTTCAATTATGTTTTAGGGTTAATAGTTAAATTGCGGCTACAAAATCTTTTTATGTTTCATGGTTTGCTGGTGGTGTAAAGAATCTCCATCGGGTCTGATCGCCTAAGCTCATAGCTACGCTGCATATGCTTTTAAAATGTGAATGTTTCCAATTGAAAACTGGTGCATGACAGATTAAAATGCAGGGAAAACCTGGGGGAGATTTTGAAAATGCACACATGACAACTCTAGAAATATATTAACCATGAGCGTTTGGCAACTTTGGACTCCTTTTAAAATGCAACTAGCCCCTGAAAATTATTAATACAACAGTGAGAATCTAATGGAGTTTGGAATCTAAAAATCTACCTTGATGATATCTGCTGTTACAGTAATATAGACATACTGTAAATGTATTTTAAAATATATAGCCCATTTAATTCCCCAGCTATAAATGGGTGAGAGAGAGAAAGCAAAAGAAAGGAGAGACAATATCATTTTAGTTTTTCTTTTTCTCTTTTTTTTTTTTTTTTTTTAGGAGCAGAAGCTTTATGAAGATCTCATTGGAATCCAGCGGATGATTAATGTGAAGATTTGGTAGGAAATCTGGAGAGCTGTATTAAAGCTCAGATCTCAGGTTCATTTCGATCAGCCAGCCGTGAACTCTAGGCCGAATTCATTACACTTTAATAGTGCTGGGAGAGAAAGAAAATGCAATTTCTCATTCCATTAGAAAACTAGAAAATACTCTCAGCTTGTCCCCTATTAAGATGTGGCAGGTGACGGGACCATTGTGGGGGACACGGTCAATGGAATTACAGCACATTATTTTTGTTCGTATAAAATATTGGAAGGCAAGCCTGACTGTGCAGAAGTTATTTCACTGATTTGGTTTTTATGTAAATAAAATATTGAAAGTTAATTAATCCGTGCTAGAGACTAATGATTATGCTTATTATATTGCATTTGATCGCGTAATTTGCATGATTCTCGCATTGCTGCTTAATAAGCCATTCTAGGTTATAAATAATTCTGAAATTGGTTTCTAATAATGGCATGCTATAAAAAGAATGGTTTTATTACAGCAGCCTGAAAAGCAGAGCAATGTCAGATGTGGAATTGGACTCCCGTTTAAGCATCAGCCACTTTAATAATTATTTAAATGTATCATATACATTAAATACAGATCTAAAATGAAGAAAGTGGTGATTTATCCTAGCATCTAAAACCCTTAAAAATATATACAGCAGCTATAAATTAAGTATTTGGAGCATCCCTTAATCAGTGTGGAGCCCACGTCCTGGAAGGAATATGTAGGCAATCTGTTAACTATAAAGAAAACTGTAAAGTACTCTTGTAAGAACATAAACCAATTACTATTTAATTTAAATTTGGTCAAGGAGCAGTGATACATTGGATTGTGAAGTAAATACATTAAATAATTTTTTCCTTAGATTACATAATGTTAATCATTTTGAAGTGTTAATTAAGAAGGTTATGTTGATCTGATTACTTTTTAAACTACAGAACATTATTGTAAAAAATATTTAAATTGCCACTCTATTAAACTGTTTTTATCAGCAGTCTCGAGCTATTAGCATTGGTTTAAGATTATGCCAAGGCCATTAAAACATTTTGTCTTTCTTCCTACGAATTTCTTTGATGTGCTGTTAGAAAATAACTGTTTCCATTTTATATTTTACTTCATTTACCACACTCCTAATATTGAAATTGGTATCATTAACCTTTGAGAAACCCAATAAAGTTTAATAGACCTCGTTTTCTTTTTTTCATAGAGTCAGTTGTCCAATTATATTTTATTTGTGAATCTAATTTCTTTCTTAATTTAAACTAATTATAGTTCTGTGAAGACAGAGTCAAATTGTTTTACTTTTTAAAAGCAGACGTGCTTTTTCTGTCACATTCAAGAATGGAATCTGTTTTTGTTCATTAAAACGTTCATTTAGGGATTTCTCTTGACATGTCTTTATTTAGCTGAGGAGCCTATGCTTGCCGAGAGGGATTTTGAACAGAGACCGCAGTAAAGTACGGCGGCAGTCCCGGCTGTACTGAGCTGGGATGCACATCCCACAAGTACTTCTACTGTGCAGGCTTTCGTTCTTGGGGATGGACTCGCCTAGAAGTCACCAAAATAACCTTGTGAACACAAAAGCCACATCTGAGCAGTGTAGCGCTTTGATCCCTCTGCCCCTTTTCCTAATTTTGTTTACATTTATTTGCCTAAATAGTTTCCTCTGGTCCTGTGTGCAAATATATATATATGTGTATGTGTCTATGTACCTATGTAGATATATATACTTTAGAAAACAAAGTACACCCTAGATGTTGAAGACACTCGCTACCCCCGCCGTCCTCAGGCTTTTTAAAAGCCAGTATGGGGAAACTGCGAGTTCAAATACTGCCTTTTACGTAAGTGCCTTTTCATGAGCCGATGTGCCTTCCCGCGCCTTCCACTCTGGCCCTCACGGCCCGCGTCTCTGGCGGACGCCTCTTCCCGGCAGTGCCGCCGGCAGTACCCTGGACAGCGGCACCGCGGCCGCCGGCAGACTCCACGGTGGAACAGCGGTCACTCCCCGGCGGTTCGGCTCGACTCTTAGCGCCGGGCTATTGCGAGGGCTGAGATTCGCTCCTCTAAGGCTGTGCCTCCCCGGACTTTTTTCTGCCGCGGTCGGGCCGTGGAGCTCTGCCCGTGCCCCGCTCGGGACCACCGCGCTGCAGGTGGGGAGGATAGAGGACAAGGGGACACCCCAAGGCGACAGCTTTGCGGAAAGAGAGGCGAGGGATGTCTGTTTTCAAGGCTTCCTGGCCAAACTGTTGCTTTCAGGACTAGATTACTTTCCCCACCATCGGGCTGAGGTTTGGGGCACCCACCCCCCCTCCCCGTCGTGACTGGACTCGCCGCCGGCCGGCTGTGCCGCGCCGTCGGTGTGACTGGGGAAGGGCCGGTGGGCACTGCGCGGGGGCGGCTTTTCATATTTTCATACCTGCACCCGGGACTCGGTGAGGCCGATGCGCAGGGCCAGCTCCTCCCGCATGAAGATGTCCGGGTAGTGAGTCTTGGCGAAGCTCCTCTCCAGCTCGTTGAGCTGCGCCGGCGTGAAGCGGGTGCGGTGCCGCTTCTGCTTCTGCTGCCCCTGCTGCTGCCCGGCCTGGCTGGGGTTCTGGCCGCCCTGCTGGCCTTGCTGCTTGTCGGCGTCTTTGGCGCTGACGGCTAGGGAGCTGGGGTTGGATCCCACCGTGGTGATGTCGTCCCCCGGCAGCAGGGTGGTCCCTTCCACCGTGTCCGAGTTGGGAGGCATGTCTCCCGGGTGTCCCCCCGGATCCGAGCCCCCTACGCCCAGCCGACACTTCACCGCCTCCCGATGTCCCAGCAGCTCAGCCGCATCTTTCATCCCTGCGGAAGCAAAGGAGCGGCAGTCACTCCTATGCTGCCAGGCACGGATCCATCAGAGCCGCTTTCCAACGCATGAGCTGGCGAGAGGCATCCAGCCACCGCCACCGCCTCTGCCCCGCCGTCCCCCAGCCGCCCGCCAGACCCTCAACCCTGCTCGGCTCCGCGACGCACAGAGACCCCGGCCCAGCGCAACTCGGGCAGAGGAGGGAAAACTTTACACCTCTTCCTGCTGAAATAACTAGCTCCCTGTCCGGCCTCCCCATGCGAGATCAGGGGAAGGGAAGAGGGGGAGGGCAAGTTTTACCGGGTTCAACCTGGGTTTTCCAGCGGAGCTGGTAAGAGAAAGAGACGGAGAGAAAGAAATAAGGCTCGAACCGCCCTGCTGCCGGGAGCATTACCTCTCCGACAGATGCGCGGGGACCTCGGTCTGTCTAGCCGATCTTTCCCCTCTTCTCTCTCCTTTCCTCTAAACAAACTCACGAATAACCGTAAATAGACGAATACAGATATTTCTCTTTTTTAAAAAAAGGAAAAGAAGGAAGGAGAAAAGCGAACAGGCGAGGAGGAAGAGGCCACCTAGAACTCCGTAAACACTATCGAGCTCATCTGTCCTAAAATAATAATCATCATCATCATCATAATAATGTGTAGGTATATATATATATAAACAGGGGAGAAAAAATTAAATGATCCACAACTCGCTGTAGATCTACATACTCTGTAGGTCTCACTCCCTCTTCTTTTTTATGTTAAATCAAATTAAACTTTAATACAGTACAATTACTTTTAAAGGAATTAGCCCATTTAGATCGCATTAAGGTAAAATAAGGAACAAATTGTCAATTTCCTGCCCCGGCTTCCTCCCCACTCGCTGCCGCCGGTGCAGCCGCCGCGGGGCGGGGGGGTGCCGGGGGAAACTCACCGAGACGGGCGTCCAGGAGGTCGGCGTGAGACAGCATCGCGCACCGCTCCAGGGCGAAGGCTGTTCCCCCCCAAATTTTAGCGGCCTTAAGTTATTTAAAATAGATATAAGATATGAGATATATATATATATATATATATATCGTCTAAATGAAAGAAAATTCGGTGTGTGGTTAAAAAGGGGGTCTCTTGCATTATAATGTCCTTTAGAGAGACGGGGAGGTGCTTAACACTTCAATGAACCCGTGAGCAGCTCGGCGCGGGGACCAATCAGGAGGGCAGCCTGCAAATGTCAGCGCCCGGAGCGCCCCGCTCCGCCCGCCCGCCGCCCGCCCGCTGCCGCCGCCCCGGCCTCCCGCCGCCCCAACCCGCCCGGACCGGACCGGCCCGCGCTCCCTTACCCTGCTCCTCTCGCCTGGGCCGCCCGCCTTCTCCCTCTCTCCTTCTCTTCCAAGTGCACATTAGCTACACTCCTCCCGCTCCGGGTCGCCCCTGATTTATTGGGTTTTATTGTTCTTAATACCTCCTCCGAGCGCACCCTCGCACTCGACCCGGTCGGGCTCCCGGGGGTCTCGCAAGTCCTGCGCCCACCGGAGACTGTGAGCGGGGCAGACGGTGGGCGCGGGGTCGGGCAGCTCTGGTCCCGCTCGCCAGCAGCTCCGAGGAACAGGGGTCGAGGGCTGCAGGGGAGATCGCGGCACGGCTCTCGCCCACTCGAGCCCCGACGGCTGCAGGGCGTCGAGGAAAGAGAAACTTGAGAGAGTTCCCGCAGCGGCCCGCGCCGCACGGGCTCCCCTAGCCCCCGGGGCTCCCCGACCCCCCGCCCCGGCCCCGCTTAGTGCCGAAGCAGAGCGCAGCAAGGGGAAAGAGAGCCAAGCACCGTGTGTCTCGGCGGCCCGGGGAGCTCTGCCTTCCTGCCCGGGATTTAAACACCCGTAAGCCCTGTTTTTCGGATAAAGTTTCCAAGTTCGGCTCGCCTACAAACTCGATTTAAAGCAGTAAATAAAGTTAAATGCTTTTTATTTTCCTCTCGAATATGTTAAACTACTTGAACAATTTAAAGTGCTTTGCAGAAGTGAAGCGAACCATTTCTAATGTTCTGATTTTTCAAAGCCAGCCAACAACAAAGTTTAGATTAGTAATATATTTCTAACCAGAGTAATTTTCAAGATCATTAGGCATTTATGTAATTAGTGCCAAATCTATAAGCTTTTATTACGATTATTAGAGTAAAATCAGTATAAATTTGTACTAATTTACTACTGTTTAGACTTGGCTGTCAAGCCAAGAGGTTCTTATTGTAAATGATAACTGAGGAAATTAAGTGCAAAATTCTGTACCATTTCTGATCCGCTCCTAAACAATCCGTTTCAATTGTATTTGTAGCAGAACATAATGCCCTTTTAAAGTTCTTTGACTTGTATTTTTATTTGCAAAACAAGAAAAATACCCTCTACCCGAACACAATGAAAACTGATATTTACTACTTCCAACTTGATTAGCATTGATTTTTAATTCAAAAGTGATGCAATTAAGATTATTCATTTAGTGCAAATAAAGCTTCCACCAAAAAGCGAGCCTAGTGAAGTCTGTGTTAAATAATACGGCGCCAATGGCTTTTTTTTCCTGCCATCCAATTGACTTACACAAAACATTGTAAATACTGCATGCGAACAGATGCAAGAGTGGTTTTGTTTGCAGCTCAGATGTGCAGGGGTTTCGGCAGCGACTGAACAAGGAGACAAAGGAACCGGCCGACCGATCTCTAGGGCAGTTTTGCTGCCTTTTTTTCCCACCTCCTCTCTGCTCAGGCTACATTGATTCAATTCTGTTTTCGAGACGTCGGGCTATTGCAAACAACCTGGGTGCTCGGGAACTGCCGCTAAGAGCAGGGAGAGAGACCCAGAGCCAGGCCACAATTTAGCCGGAGACAGAGAAAGAAAGAGGTGGAGGTGGGGTGGGAGTTTCGGGATTTTTCTGTTGATGTTGTTGTTTTGTTCCTGGCTGGATGGGGGACTGTTGAAATGGCACATTTGCTGTGCTTTTTTCCTTTGAAAATTGTTGTCTGTGTGGAGCTCCAGGGCAGGAGGGAAGGACCCGTCCGTGAAAATTGCTGCGCGGCGCCCCCCGGCCCGCTGCCTGGCGTCGGGACCCGCGGAGCGGAGCCGGCGGAGTCGCCGGTGGGGACACGGGCCGGCGGGGACACGGGCCGGCGGCGCGGGTGCGGCGCGGAGCCCGGGACGGAGCGGTCAGGGGCTGGCCGGGGCGCTTGGGGTCCAGTTTATCTGTATTTACTGGCACAAGAGTGCGGGCGCTGGACGCGCCGAGCGCAGTGCGAGCAGGGTGGCACGGCTTGCGTGTGCATCTATTCCGTGTTGTTGTATGTTTCAGGTCGATAAATAAATGTGTAATAGTTAATGTGCAGAGACATCAGAGTAATAACAATGGGATGAAATCAAAGGATTATCAATCTCTGTTAGTAACTGCTGAATAACAATGTTGCGGTGTGATTGATAGCGCGCTTCATTTTATGACTTTTCTATTGCTCTTGATTTTTATAGCAGTATAAACAAACTAAATCATTTCTTCGAAGACTTCAGAGCGCAATCGTTTTAAGGGAAGAGGAGAAATCAGAGAAGGAAGTCTGGGGGAGAGAAAAGAGCGGGCAGGGCTGACACTTCAGCGTGTCAGAAAGAAAATGACAATGGGGCATATGTAAAATACCCTAATCGCATTCCACTTTCGCTCACTCCTGTTTTGTCAAGTGTCCGAATTCACCAGGGCAGCGTCGGAGATGTATTTACAAGAATTTTATTTCTCGTCATCTTTCCATTTTCCCAGTGTAGCCAGAAAACTGCCAGTCAAGTCCATTCTCTGTTACAATTTACGGTATTCCCCATATGATCATAGGAACTGAAGTTCCTAACAAGGAAAGGCTTTAACACAATGGCCAAAAATCTTCAGAGTGACACGAGTGTCTTCAGAAATCACTTCAGAGCAAAGTAAAAGGATTTTCTATGACGGATCCAGTGATTTTTCCTCAATAAATAGGTTTTAGATTGTTACACACACGTAGAACTGGAACAAAGGGCAGTACCAGAAAATATATTGGTTGCCCCTAATAAAATTTATTTAGACAGTTTACTTCTCATAAAAAATAGAGATTGAATTTCGTACAGGAGCGCCTGCCAAGAGGCTAGGCACGGGGAGATCATCTCCCCCCGCACGCTCTTTTGCTTTGCTTTCCCTTTCCACCCCATCGCTTCCTTTCCCTGCCCTGCCCGGCGGCGCCCGGCGGGCCCGATCCCCTGGTCCCGGCCGGGGCAGGCTCTCCCTCTCCCCTGCCCAGCCCCCCCACCGACTCAAGCCGATCCGACCGAGAGAGGGCCGCGGAGCGGGGCGTGCTGCATTTGGGAGCAATATAACCCTAATTCTCCAGAGCTGTGACCCTGGGAAGAAAGGGTAGAGAACTTTCCAACCCCCAGAGCTCCCCCTCTCCCATCCCCGCTAAACTCAAGCCCTGATTGAATGAGGCTGTGATATAAACAAGAGTATTTAACCAATTCTGCTCCGATTTAGGAACAGAACCTTCTTTTATCAGAATAATTATATTTGGAGCGAGGAACACAGTAAAATAAGGTTAAACTGCTAAAGTCAGCAGAGTGGCTTGGCATAAATGGCTGATAAGATTTGTAATTTGATATTTTATTTATGTATTTCTTGAGCATCCATGCAGTTAAGGTGGCTGCTGTATGCAGAGCACCGTAATTGCTTTTTACAAGTAGCAACGCTCACAGCGTTTACCAAATGTAACTTTTGGTTGCCTGGCTTGTTCGTGCGGCTTTTTTTTTTATTCTTATTATTTTTTCCTTCCCCCTCCTTTTATTTCCAGATAGTAGTGCTGAAATATCGGATATGATTATTCTCATTCCTGCTGTTCAGTGCTGCATTGTAATATTGTTCGCTTTAATGAGAAGCGCCTCCCTCAATAATTAACGACCTCACATTTCCCTATTTTCTTGCCTGATGAAAAGAATTAATTTTAATTCATTGTAAATTACAGCTATGCTTTTGAGTGTTATTTGCTTACTTTTCCACATCGACATACCCTAAACACAAACGACAAATCAAACTATATCCTTTCGTTAGGGGTAATTTGGAGTTAAGAAATGGAAAAACATAAACACGTGTTTTCATTTCAATCAACCCTCTCGAAAATATGACTTCTTTGGAAACGAAGGACAAGGCTGCCAGCTCCAGACCCAATTTATTCATTCTAGTCAGAGCTAAACGTGGCGATCATCGCCGCTTTGCGACATTAGGCTGTATGCAGCATTTTGTCGCTGCAATAAATATAGTTCTTTGAAAGCAACTTTATGAAGTTTATAGGCATCTGAGGCAAGAACGCTCGCAGCTGATCAGAAACGCAGCCGTCAGGTGTCCCGAAAACAGCCTCTCTAAGGTCAGCGAGGAGAGCTCGGGTCCCCTGACACCTCTTCTCAAACACTGTTAAGATCAGCATTTTCCCATTTGCTTATTTATCTAAATATCTGCATCCGGATCCGGCGGAGCCAAAGGCAGCCCCTCCGACTGTCTCCTCGCGGGTAGACTGTGGGTAATCTCTCGACAGTGAAGCGGTTGCCTTAGATTGAAAGGATGGCTTCTATCAATTAATTTTCATCAGAGCAATGACAACCAGTCTTTTATGGGGAAAAAGCTATTTTAATATAAAGGTATGCCTGCCACCCCTGCCCGCTCTCACCCGATCAGATGGAAACTCTTTATACACAAAAGTCACCTCCCTCTCTCCATCCAGCTTCGTACTCATGCATGTATTATGTATATATAGGGTTTTGACATAATATTAAGTTCATAAACTTAAAAATGCGGAGCCCAAGCATAACGCACTGGGCTGTAGCTTATTCAGTCGGACAGGAATTATCGGGGCTGCCCCGAAAGGCGAAGGGAACGCCGGTATAAATAATTTTTCAGATACATCTCTGTTTAGGCAAACAGTACACTTCCAGGAAGTGTTTTCTACTGAGCCTGGAGGAATTTATTTAACACATACCTGTGTTTTTAAAATCCGAAATCTCCCCATCCGCCAGGTGTAGCAATGAAAAAATATACATCAGAAGCTAACGTGGATGGAGTA